CTGTCCCCTGCCCAATTCTTAGTCATTGTCTAAGGCCTCCACATCTGGGGCAGAAATCCCTGCAGAAAGGTCCAGGTCCGGCCTCTGGCATCAGGATACCAGAAGCCGCATGTGGAATTGGACATCTGGCAGGTACTGCCGTGGTTGTAGCTTGCCTCTCCACAGCAGCTGACCTGTTTTATTTGGGCCCCTGACTTACTGAACGCATCTCACTGCCGTGGGAGACTCTTTCCCAGTCTCTCCCTTCTGTAAATCCTTGGTTTCCTTCCCAGGGCTTTTTCACACCTGGTCCTTCTGTCCCACACCAGCAACCTTCCTCTCCATTACTCAGTTGTGGATTCCTCCTTCTGCCCTTCAAAAGATCCCCATTGCTGTAGCCCTTCACTCCCTCAGGCCACTATCCCTCACCCTGCACATGACCCCAGTGACAAGGAAGCCAGAAGATGGAGCCCCAGGTTGTTGCTTCTCACAGTTACCCTGTCTATTCTACCACATGGCCACATCATGGCTCCTCAAAGTCTCAAACTGTGTGTTTGGGTAACCCCGAGGTGGGATACAGAGAAGGGGGAAGGAAGGTTCCAGAGCAACTCAGCCAGTGCCAGACTGCCCAAGTCTCCAGACACTGGGGATATCGCTGAGGACAGGGATTTCTAAATGGAAATGTTGCCAGGTGTGGTAGCATTTATGTAATCCCAGCATTTAGGAGACAGAGGCAGAAGAGGTTGAATTCTCTGAAACTGGAGTTACAGACAGTTGTTAGCTGCAGTGTTGGTGCTGGGAACCGAACCCTCTGCTCTGCAAGAGCAGCCGGTGGTTTTAACCACTGAACCATGTCTCCAGCCTCTCCTTTTGTTGTTTTGTTTTGTTTTGTTTTGTTTTGTTTTGTTTTAAAGGAGACTTTTTTCCCCCTATCGGCAATTTGGGTAACCTCTTCAGGGGATGTTGTGATAAGAATAGGAGGTGGGAATTGGCTAGGAAGTTAGGGTAAAAAGATCCCAAAGAAAAGTAGTCTGTTTCTTGGCTAAAAATCAAAATGTCCTTGAGTCTCTTAGCAATATACTCCATTCCAAAGACCAAAAATGTCGAAAATAGTTGGGAGCTCTTATCTAATCCCTAAAAGATTTTAGGGTTACCTCTTCAGAGGGGGGCAATGTCAGAGTAGCAAAAAGCTACCCCCAAAAAAGAAAGAGTACTTGAAATTGTTCAGGAAAAAGTGATGGGGAGATATGGGAGGAGTTGGAGGGGAGGGGTGGGTGTGGATTTGATCAAAACACATTATATGCATGTGTAAAATTCTCAATAAGTTTTAAGTTAAAAAAACAAATCAATAAGTAATAAAGGAGACTTTGTCACAAAGGCATTGGACAACAGTGTCAAAATGTGACAGAACAAAAAGAGCCAACCCTCGTGGGGAGGAGGGAGCCCCTGGGCCCCTTCTGCTCAGACTCCTCCGCCTCCCTGCAGCAATTCTTCTACAGGTACCCTCTGGGAAGAGGAGTGTCTTGACACCTGCTATCAGACAGGGTAGGTCAGAGATCTTTATGGCTGGTTCCAAGACAGAGAAGGTGGTAGAGGGGTTGAGTTTCTCTGGCCTACTTTGGGAGGAATTCAGGAGTAAAGAACCGTGTATGAAAACCAAAGTACATCTAACACAACATCCTAGCTGTTAACACTTAAAGATCAGGAACTTCACATAAATGCCCAGGCTTCTGATTTCTCTTGGAAACCTTGCCAACTTGGGGCTGGAGAGATGGCTCAGCAGTTAAGAGCACAGGCTGCTCTTGCAGAGGACCCCAGGTTCAGTTCCCAGTACGCACTTGTTGGCTAACAGCCGTCTATAACTTCAGTTCCAGAAGATCGGTTGCCTTCTTCTGGCCTCCGTTTGTACTGTATGACACAAGTACCCTTACATGTATGCAGGCAAAACATACACATGAAATAAAAGCAAATTAATTAATAAAAAAATCTTTACAGAAAATTTGGCTAACTCAGGTCTATGGCCACCTTCCAGCATGACAGCCACAGGTAGGGGTTGGCTCAAGGTTGCCCCCTTGTGGTGAGACAGTACTGCAACATGCCCAGGGTGGACCCATCTCTTGCCTTCTTATCCTGAGTTTGTCACCGTGCCCTAGACTGCAAATTCCTTGACAGCAAGAACTGGTTGTGCTTTTTTTTTTTTTTTGGTCTTTTTGAGACAGGGTCTCCCTGTAGCCCCAGCTGTCCTGGAACTCACTATGTAGACCAGGCAGGCCTTGAACTCACAGAGATCCGACCGCCTCTGCCTCCCGAGTGCTGGGATTAAAGATGTGTGCCACCACGCCTGGCTATGAGAAAATTTAAACTTTTTTTAAAAGTTTTTCATTTGATCACAGATATATTTTACATTTTATTTTTTTACATTTGTTTATTTTATTTTCATGGTGTATATGTGGGAGGGAGTATCATGGCACATGTGTGGAGGTCAGAGGACAACTTGAGAGAGTTAGCGCTCTCCTTCCACCGCCTGGGTTCTGGAGTCATCTCACTAGAACAAGAGAAAAATTTGACTTAAAATTTTGGGGGGCAGCTGGTTCCCAGTACTCACATGTCGACTAACAATCATTTGTAGCTCCAGTTCCAGGGAATCCAATGCCCTTTTCTGACCTCTGAGGTCACTGCACAACACAGGTGCACTTATATACATGCAGGCAATACACTCATACACATAAAATAAAAATAAATAAAATATTTTTAAAGTTTTTTGGGGTTTTTTTGTGTATGAGTGTTTTGCCTTCATGTGTGTAAGCATACCTGTGTCGTTGGAGTCCCTGGAACTGGATTTATGGACAGTTGTGAGCCACTATGTGGATACTGGGAACCAAACCTGGGTTTTCTGCAAGAGCAGCCAGTGCGCTTAAGTGATGAGCTACCTTTGCATCCTAGAAAAATTAAACTTTTGAGTTTATCAATTTATTAACTATATGGCAAGGCCTGCCAGTGTACACATATTAGGGAAGCAGAGGAGGGGCCGGAGAGATGGTTCAGCAGATAAAGGTGCTTGCCACCAAGCGTGACTACCTGAGATTGATCCTTGGGACCCACATGGTAGAAGATAACTGACTCCACAAGCTGTGCTCTGATTTGCACAAGCATGCTGTGGAAACATAAACCCCCAAACACACACAAACACACACACACACACACACACACACACACACACAATTTATTGATTTATTGTCTTTTTTTGAGACAGGGTCTCCCTGTAACTCCAACTGGCCTGGAACTTGCTATGTAGACCAGGCTGGCCCTGAACTCACAGAGATCCGCCTGCCCTCTGCCTCCCAAGTGCTGGGATTAAAAGTGTGTGCCACCATGCCTGGCCACACACACAAAAATTTTAAGAAACAGCAGAGGAAACAAATGGTAGGGCCGACAGTGGCCACCCACTGGCAGGGACTGTGAAGCATCGCATCCATGGGGCTGCCGGAATGCACGGGGCACTTGGGAGAGGATGAGAAGCCATCCTTAGAGCACAATGACACAGGACAAGAGGCCTTGGAGGACAGGGTGGCCAACAGCATTGGGAGGCTGTAGGAAGATGGGAGAAGGAAGTGTTAGGGGAGTGAAATGAGGTTCAGTTGGTAGAGTGCTTGCCTAATGCGCATGAGCCCCTGGCCTCCATTCCCTAGCACCATATAAACAAGGCATGGTCATGCACGCCTGTGATCCCTGCACTGGCTAGAGGCAGGAGGATCCTGAGTTGAAGGTATTCCTTGGCTACATAGTGAATTCAAGACCAGCCTGGGCTACCTGAGACCCTGTCTGAAAAAAAAAAAAAAAGAAAGAAAGAAAGAAAGAAAGAAAGAAAGAAAGAAAGAAAGAAAGAAAGAAAGAAAGAAAGGAGAAAGTAAATAGAAGCCACATGGAGTCACTTAGAACCAAACAGAAAATGTGGTCAGTTTCTGATCACATGCATCTTATGTTTGTTTGCTTGCTTGTTTTGAGACAGGGTCTCACTATGCAGCCCCAGCTGACCTAGAACTCTCTACCTTGATCTCACAACCATTCGCCTGCCTCAGTCTCCTGAGTACTGGGATTAAAGGCATGTGCCACACACATGTATCTTATTGTGTATCTTACTGTGTATCTTATTGGGCTGTGGCATTCCACCTCTACCCCAGCTCCAGCACATAGTGGATCCTCAATAAACGCTTACTGGATGCAAACAACATCTTTTAGATGTGTGCTTTACATGATCGTGCTGGGCTAGCCTGGATCTCTGGAATGCATTGGTTCCATGGGTGCTGTGTCTCCATGGAAAACCCACACAGTGGGCCACCTCCAAAGTCTCCCCTCTGCACTTCTCTGCACCTTGACCTTGATTCCTCCCAGCAACCTGCTCTCTAGTGACAATGACATCTAGGACAGCAGTACATACCTCATGGGCCACTAGGGAACTCCGTGGGATCATGGAGGGCAGGCATGGCACCTGGTACTTATTTCTGTCACTTTATCCACAGTGTCTTTTTTTTTTTTTTTTTTTTTTGAGACAGGGTCTCCCTGTAGCCCCAGCTGTCCTGGACCTCACTATGTAGACCAGGCCAGCCTTGAACTCACAGAGATCCTCCTGCCTCTGCCTCCCAAGTGCTGAGACTAAAGGCGTGCACCACCACACCCAGCATCCACAGTGTCTTTATCAACAAGATAACAAGAGTCTCCCCACTCTGTTAGGCCAGGTGGCTTGGCATTACTTTCTCAGCCAAGCCCAAGGAAGTGATTACACTAAAACTCCAGATTCTGGGAATTTTTAACGCCTTCCTCTGGAACACTGATGGGGGTGAAAGTTATTGGAGAAGTTTGCATTTCTTATCAAGCCCCATTAGGTGGCCCTCTGGGCGGGGCGGGGGGTGGTGATGATTAGGGCAGGGCAGAAAGTATTTAACGAGCAGCAAGCAGTTCTCCACAAAGCTGCCAGACCAGAACTCACTTCTCCTGAGTATCTTAAGCCCAGGAAGGAAATCATGAAATGGCTTGGAGTCTTTGGGCTTGTAGCCCTCTCGGAGTGCTTGGTAACGTAAGTGTGGGACAGGTGGCCATCAGCTGCCTTTCTGGGATTTTTTCCTCACCCTTGAATCCTCTGAGGCTCTTATTCCCCTGCCCATCCAGGGGATAGAAGGAAACAGAATTTGGTAGAATCTTCATAAGGCTCAGGTGTCCATTCATCAGATACTTTGCCATGTGCAATGGAAGGGCCCAGAAGTCTTAGGGGTAAACCTGCAGGGCTGCCCAACTCCAAAGGCACAAGTCATATCATGGGCTGTGTGAATGTCACTCCCCCGAACTGTTCAGTGTGCAGCCTTGTGGGTAATGGGGTTTTTTCTGTAATACTGAGCAAGAAATGCCACACGGGTTTTTCTGGGGGGCGGGGGGGCGTCAAACCAAGTGTCCTTTATTAGCTAGCTAGCTAGCAAGCCGGTGGTCAGAGAGAGGGCTTGTGCCCAAGAGAACTCTCAACCCCGAGAAGCAGGACAGAGTTTGTAAAGCTTAAAACCACAATGACATCATGCCAGGTGCAAGTCAGATAACAAAAATTCATCAAACCAAGAGCAGGTCAGCAATCAAAGGAGTTTTCGGTACTTCATTTAGAGAATATGTTTTCTCAGAATTATTGAAATGTTAACCTGATCGCTCTGAAATGTTGACATCCTGATCATCCTACCTGGCTAACGGTGGACAGCAAGGGAACTGGAGTAATGGAGTGGTTAACTGTGATCAGTGGGGAAGGGGAGTGATGCAATCAAGGGTGCAATAAAGCATAGAATGTAGCTAGTTAACTAGTTAGGGGAAGTGGGGAGGAGGGTCATTCCAACTAGTTCAGTTTCTATCTAGAAATAGCATTCTACTCTTCTAGATCTCCCTCTCTCTCTCCCTCCCTCTCCCTCTCCCTCTCCCTCTTCCTCTCCCTCTCTCCCTCTCTCCCTCTCTCCCTCTCATTTCTCCTGTATCTCTCCTCCCTCTCTGGGGTCCACAGAATTCAGTCTTGACTCACATTTCTCAGGCCTCTTCACTTTCCTAAATGCTTCCAGCTGGGTATGGTGATGCTCGCCTGTAATCTCAGCACCTGGGAGGTAGAGGCAGGAGGCTCAAAAGTTCAAGGGCATCCTAGCCTACATATTGAGTTTGAGGCCAGCCCTGTCTCAAAAAGGGGGTGGGGGCTACTTCCTTAGACCCAGCTTAACAATAACAAACCAGGTGACCACAACTGAGTCACAAATTCCCTACATCTCAGGTTCTTCCCACTAAAAAGAAGATATTGCTTAGTGTGTGCAAGGCTCTGGGCTCCATCGCCAGTGCCAAAAAGAGAAGAGGGGTGCTGGAGAGGTGGCTCAGTGGCTAAGAGTGCTTCTTGCTCTTGTTCCCAGCATCCATGTCTGGCAGCTCACAACTGCCTAGAGTTCCATGTCCAAGGGATCTGATGCCCACTTCTGGCTTCTGAGGGCATTCCCCCCCCCACACACACACATAAATTTTCTTAAAAATTCTGTTTCTAAAAGAGAGAAATGACAAAGAGGGCAACCCGCCAATCTTCCTCCCTTCCTTGCAGGGTGCTTTGGAAAAGACACTGGGTGGTGGGAAGAGCAACAGTGATGATTGACACTGTCAGGGCCCACTAGATGGCAGGTGCATCCTGTCATCCTACCCACCCCCAACATTCCATCTGAGGGGTGTTAGCATCCTACCCTCTACAGAGAGAGGAAACTGAGGCTAAGAGTGGTCCCCTGATCTGCTTGAGAGAGAATAGAACCTAGATCCAACCCCAGGCCCACTGTCACTGTACTCCCACTGTGTCAGGTGTCCTGTTCTGGTAACAAGGTAACTCTTGGAAAACCATCTGTGCAATTTCAGTGCAAGGTGTGGCACCCCCTGGCAGCTGTCTCTTACTTGGTTTCCTTCCCAATGCTCCTTTAAAGAATTCCCCTGATGAAAGTTAAGTCCATGCGAGAAAACCTGCGGGAAAGCCACATGCTGAAGGACTACCTGGAGAAGTATCCACACAGCCGCGCCCACATGCTTCTTGAGCAGCGACAGAAGCCAGCAGTACCTTACGAGCCCATGAGAAACTACCTGGACGTGAGTGTGGTGCAGCTAGGGCTCAAGAGCACTGCCTAGGGCTCCTGCCCAGCACTGAAGCCTCTGTGGGGAATACTGCATGACAAAGGGCAGAAGGGGCTGGGATGGCTCAGCTGGTAAGAGTACTTGCTGCTTAAGCTTGAGGACCTCAGCTTCCCCCAAAAAAAAAAAAAAAAAAAAAAAAAAAAAAAAAAGGGCAGGTGTAGTCACACAGGCCTATAACCCTAGTGCTGGGGCAGGAGGGGATAGGGCAGAAACAGGAGGATGGCTGGCACTTGCTGCCCACCAGCCTAGCTCCAGGTTCAGTGAGAGACCTTTTCTCAAAGGAATAAAGTGGACAGAGCAGGACACCTAACATTCACCTCTGTCCTCTATTTGCACATATTTGCACACACATGCACATACACACACACACACACACACACAAAAAAAAAAAAAAGTTTGTTTTTTTTTAAGGGTGAGGTGCAGGGACTTCTTCCCTGAGAAGAAAGCTTTCCTATCGTTCTGGGGCTCTGCTGTTGGACCTAGCAATGACCAGTTGCCACCTCATACAGCCTAGTCAGGGAAACCCATGGAGAACAAACAATGTCAGCTGGCCATGGCAGTATGTGCCTATGATCCCTGCACTCAGGAGGCTGAGGCAGAAGGATCACAAGTTGGAGGCCAGCCTGAGACTACATAGTAAGATCCTGTCAAAAAAAAACAAGGAACGAGGTATGGTGGCACAAGCCTTTAATTCCAGCACTCAGGACACAGAGGCAGACAGATCTCTGTGAGATTGAGGACAACCTGGTCTACATAGTGAGTTCCAGGCCACATGGGGCTATAGGGAGGCCCTGTCTAAAAAAAAACATGAAAAAAGGGGGGGCTAGGGGAATGGTTCAGTGGTTAAGAGCACTGGCTACTCTTGCAGAGGACCTAGGTTCAGTTCCCAGCACCCACATGGGTATCCAATGCTCTCTTCTGGCCTCTATGGGCATTGCACCAACACAGGTGCACTTACATGCATACATATACATTAAGTCAAAAATAAATAAAAAGTCAGTGGTGCATGCCAGCAGAGGAAGATCTTAGTTCAAGGCCAACCTGGTCTACGTGGTGAGCTCAATCCAGGTTAGCCAGTGGAGACATAGAGAGACCCTTTCTCAAAAGAAAAAAAAAAAGGGGGGGGAAGAAATGAGGGAGGAAGGAGGCAAAGGGGGAAGAAATAGTGAGAAGGCTGGCTGAGTGGTCTTGATACTAAATATTTTGACTTTTGAGAAAGCAAAGAGTACAGGGGTCTGGGGTGACCCAAGAGGGCTGCCTGGAGGAGGCACTCAGGTTGGGCCCTGAGGGGTGGAAAGAATTTGAAAGCTTTGGAGGAGGAAGGAAAGCTCCCAAGTAGAAACCCTGGTTTGAACAGAGGCTTGGCAATTAGACACCCCTGTGGAGGTAGGTGTACCCAGGGGAATAGGCAGGCCAGCCACACCCCTCCTCTCCCGCAGCTGGTCTACATTGGCATCATCAGCATTGGCACACCCCCTCAGGAGTTCAAGGTCGTCCTGGACACTGGCTCTGCTGACCTGTGGGTGCCATCCATCTACTGCACCAGTCCAGCCTGTGGTGAGCACCCTGGCCCATCCCTTCCCTGCCCTGAAGCAACCCTCCCATCCCAACCGACCTGAGGGTCACCTCTGCCTGTGTCTGCAGCTCACCACAAGGTCTTCAACCCTCTGCTCTCCTCCACATTCCTGGTCTCTGGCCGGCCTGTGAACGTTGCCTATGGCTCAGGACAGATGTCAGGATTTCTTGCCTATGACACTGTGATGGTAACTCGGGTATCAGAGGCTGTGACAGGGCTGGCCTTGGGTGTGACCACTGCCTGCAGGGCCAGAGGCAGGGTCAGCTGGGAGTGCCCTCCTGCCCCACCTGGCTGCTCACCTTGTAGGGTTATGTCCTGGGGCACTATCTATTCCTCCCTAGTGAGGGACATTCCAGCTTGTAGGTGCCCAGAGAGCCTTCCTCCAAAGTGAACACAAGGTTGGTTCTGCTAGAATCAGAGAGAAAGGGTTGTGTGAAAACTACTCACTGCACACTGCACACTGCTCCAGGCTGGGCACTTTCTTCATAGACCTTCATCCTCTCAATAAGCCCAAGGCAGATCCCAAGTTCCCAGGCAGGAAAAGCAGAGCACAGATTCAGGAGAGACCTGCTTGATCAATGGGTGCTTACCCTGGGGTGGGGGTGGAGGGCTGGGAAACCTTGGAGGATTAACAAAATCCCCAAGCGTGTGCGCGCACGCGCGCGCGCACACACACACACACACACACACACACACACAAGAATGTTTCCCAGTCTGATTTTTCCTAAGAACCCTGGGGACTTAGCCAGGCACAATGTTGCATCTTTAATTCATCACTCAGGAGGCAGAGGCAGGTAGATCTCTGTGAATTCAAGGCCAGTCTGGTCTACATAATGAGTTCCAGCCACTGTTACATAGTGAGGATTTGTCTCAGCAAAACAAAACAAAAAACCTGGTAGCTGTTTGCTATAACAGGCTTCCATCTCCCAAAGGGGCAGAAAAGACCTCCTTGGGCAATGCCCCTAAGGAGATGATACTGTCCTCCATTTATCCTCTACTTGGAACCTTCTGGTCACACTCAGAATCTCAGTCTCCCTTAATCTCTATTAAGGTGAGATATTATCGGGGGTTCAGAGGTTGGTGACAACTCACATCACTACACAGGAGCTACCCACCCACTCCTGCCTAGGAGACACATCTGAGTGGCCCATGGCATGGCCCAGAGTCAGTTCTCCCCTGTGAGGCAGGCCATTTCCTCTCCCACTCCCACCCAAGCCCAGCTGCAATCCTATCCCCAATTCCAGAGCCTTATGTGTGGGCACCTTCTTCTCCCACAGATTGGGGGCCTCACAGTTGTGGCCCAGGCCTTTGGCCTGAGCCTGGAGGAGCTAGGCAGTTTCATGAAATATGCAGTCTTTGATGGCGTCCTAGGGCTGAGCTACCCCAGCCTCAGCCTTCAGGGAATCACACCTGTCTTTGACAACCTGTGGACACAGGGCCTCATTTCCCAGAACCTCTTTGCCTTCTACCTAAGCAGGTGAGTGTGCACCAGACCAGCCCTTTCCCGGGCCTGGCTGGAAGACATGTCCAGTTGCATATAAAATTGCTGGCTCTCTGATCCTGAAGATTCCTTAGCCATAGTCTGGTCCAGGAGTCAGCCTTTTGGCCTGGGAACCAAAGCTAGTCCACCATCTGTTTTTGTAAATAACGTTTTATTGGAGCATAAACCCCATTCATCCATTTCCTCATCTGGCAATGGAAGGGACTGAACCAAAGGAGTCAGGAAATTCTCCATATGTGATTGTTAGTACTGGAGGCTTTCATGCTGGGGGACATTCATCCCTACTGCATGGCTCAGTGCTACCATGTGGGGTGGAGTGGTGTGTGTGATGTGTGTGTGTGTGTGTGTGTGTGTGTGTGTGTGATGTGTGTGATGTGGTGTATGTGTGTAGTGTGTATGGTGTATGTGTGTGGTATGTGTGTAGTGTGACATATATGTGTAGTATGCATAGTGTGTGTATGGTGTGTGTGTATTGTGTGTGGTGTGTGTGATATGTGTATGTGTATGTAGTGTAGTGTGTATGTGTGTGGTGTGATATATGTGTGTAGTGTGTATGGTGTGTGGTGTGTGAGGTGTATGTGGTGTATGGTGTGATGTATATGTGTACTGTGTCATGTGTGTGGTATGATGTGTGTGGTGTGTATGGTGTGTCATATATATGTTGTGTGTGTGGCGTGTATGGTGTGTGATGGGTGTGGTGTGTCTATGTGTACGATATGGTATGTGTGGTGTGGTGTATGGTATGTATGTGTGTGTGGTATGTGTTTGTGTGTCTGTATGGGCACTCGTACATATGTGTGTGGTTGAGGCTGTGGGTGTCCCACCTCTACAGGAAGATGTTAATTAAGTAAGCTGTTCAACCTTTCTCTGCCCTTTGGGAACACTCAAATCCAGTTCACTGAGACGAGCAGAGGCAACCTTTACGACAGGAAACGGGGCGTGTGCAAGGACCTCAAGGAGAAATCAGTGTGAATCAGCAAGAAGGCCAGGGTGTCTGGAGCTCTGGTTTACACTAAGTGACAGGGGGAACCTCTGGGAAATGGTTAATTCAGGCAGAGACATGATATGATCTGTGCTTTGTTTTACCTTTTAATTTTTAATTGACAAGCAATACTTGTATAAATGTGCTGGCTCAGTGTGACACTTGACGTGTTGTGGTGAGCGAGTCAGGGCAGTCAGAATGCAGCTATGTCTTTATTTCTGTTTGGATGCCATTTTTGTTTGCATTTGTTTTATGAGTTTTTTGTTTTGTTTTGTTTTGTTGGTCTTTTTGAGACAGGGTCTCCCTATAGCCCCAGCTGTCCTGGAACTCACTATGTAGACCAGGCAGGCCTTGAACTCACAGAGATCCACCTGCCTCTGCCTCCTGAGTGCTGGGATTAAAGGCGTGTGCCACCATGCCCTGCCCGTTTTATGTATTTTTTTAAATGAATTTATTTTTATTTTATGTGTATGAGTGTTTTACATGCATGTAAGTGCACCTGTGCATGCAATGCCCACAGAAGCCAGAAGAGGGCATTAGCCAGAGGGAACTGGAGTTAACAGATAGTTGTTAGCCTCTGTGTGGATGCTGGGAACCAAACTACCAAGCCATCTCTCCAGATTTTTGTTTTTATTTTTTGCGACAGTGTCTCACTCTTTAGCTCAGGCTGGTCACAAACTCACTGTGTAGCCCAGGCTGTCCTCAAATTCATGGCAATGTCCTGCTTCAGCCTCCTGAGGGCTGGGATTACACTATGCCTGGCTTGGATTAATGTTTCCAGACCCTCATACTAGTACCACTGGAGAATGACTACAGGGAGAGGTGGGAGTTGGGAGTGAGGAAAGACGTGGAGTACAGGCTTGCTTTGAAGGAAGAGGCCTCACAGTTGATAATGGGCATTTCTTCTTTCACTAAGATTTTACTAGGACCAATTGTGTAACTTGCACAATTTGTAAAGTAATGTGGGGCTTTTGATCAAGAAGCCTCGAGAAATTTAGGTAGGCAAGAGCAGAGGCACCAGATTCCCTGCCCATGAAGCCAACCCTGTGTGCACTAGAAAGTTCTTAGCCACCCTGGGCCTTAGTGTGCTGGAAATTGACAGACTAGACAGGTGGAGGTCAGAACCCTCTTGACACAGCATCTTCTAACTGCACAGTTGTTTAGAAGGACCCAAGCACTCCATGGAATGGTGGGGTGGTCAGAGCCCAGCTCTATAGCCAACTGTTCAAACCTCAGCTTTGGGGACTGGAGAGAAGGCTCAGCAGTTAAGAGCACCAGCTGCCCTTGCAGAGAACCCAGGTTCGGTTTCCAGCATCTACATGGTAGCTAACATCCGTGACTCCAGTTCCAAGGGATCTGACGCCCTCTTCTGGCCTCCTCTGGCATTGCATGCATGTGATACACCTATATACATGCAACAGAACACTCATACACATAAAATTAAAATAGGATTTATTTTTTTGACACAGGGTTTCCCTTTAGTCCCAGCTGGCCTGAAACTCACTATATAGACCAGGTTGGCCTTGGTCTCACAGAAATCTGCCTGCCTCTGTCTCCTGAGTGCTAGGATTAAAGGTGTACACCACCATGCCTGGCTAAAAAAAATAAATTTAAAAAAATTAAATTCAAACCTCAGCTGGGTGTGGTAGCACACGCCTTTAATCCCAGCACTCAGGAGGCAGAGGCAGGCAGATCTCTGTGAGTTCAAGGCCAGCCTGGTCTACATAGTAAGTTTCAGGCCAGTTGGGGCTACAGGGAGACCCTGTCTCAAAAAGACCAAAAAAAAAAAAAAATCAAACCTCAGCTTTGAATGATGACTCATGTGCACGCCTTAGCTCTGGCTGGCTGTGAACTCACTATGTAGCCCAGGCTGGCCTCAAATTTGTGACTATGATCCTGCCTCAGCCTCCTGAGGGCTGGGATTACAGGGTAAGCTATTACTCAGGTCATTTACCTTGTGACCAACCTGAAGCAGGCAGTCATCCCTCGTTGCCTAACTTCTTCTGCCTGAGAAGTAGAGCTACTAGGAGGGCTGCTCCACGGGTGGGGGGGGGTGATAAACCAGCAGTGATAAGCAAGGCTGGCCAGGGCTGGGATGCTGCTAAGCCCAAGAGACCTAGCCCCTAATCTCTAACAGTGAACTGTCCCTCTTCTGCCTCCCTCTAGCAAGGATGAGAAGAGCAGTGTGCTAATGCTGGGCGGAGTGGACCCCTCCTACTACAGTGGAGAGCTTCACTGGGTGCCCGTGTCCAAACCTGGCTACTGGCAGTTAGCCGTGGACAGGTAAGTGTCTACCTGATTCCTGCCCTGGGATCTGGGATGCCATCCCACATATGTACACACACACACACACGCGCACACACACACACACACATGCACAGACACACATTTAGACACAGGGAGTCACACACCGGCCCATGACATGGAGTCATAAGACATAGTCACATGAACATAGATACATGCACTCACACGTAGACATGTACAGTCATAGACACACATTCAGCTCCCCCCACAGACACACACAAACACACACTCCTCACAGCCACACATCTGTAAGCCTTTCAGGCCTCCTCAGCAAGATTGCAGCAAGAGAAAGTGAGTCAGACCTGGATTCGGAGCCCTAAAAGGACAGGAAACCTATAGATATGGGCAGGCAGAGGTGTCCAGAAAAGACCCACATAGAATGGGATGGGTTGGAAAAAATGTCTGAGCACCTTTAGATGGGATGGAGGGGGATGGGATGATATCACCTAGGTTCAATGAATGACCGTCATCTGGGTTTGCCCAGGACTTGGGGCTTCCAGTACAAAGCAGGCAAAGTCCTGGGCCCTCAGGGAGGTTTATCATCACAGGGAACAGATAGCCAGGAGCAGAGATCCACTCTGATATGAAAGAGACAGAGAGAGAGAGAGAGAGAGAGAGAGAGAGAGAGAGAGAGAGACAGACAGACAGACAGACAGACAGACATACAGCAGGCTCGGGGGCAGGGACAGAGAGCAGGGCACCCTGAACTGCCTGAGAACGTGGGGACAAGAGCAGAGCTGACACTATAGTCACAAATGGAAGCTTAAGCCTGTTTTGGAGGCATCAGCAGTCTGACCATCTGCATGGGCTTCCCGGGCACTGCCTGGGTGGGGGCGTCAGCATCAAGGGGGTCTGCTTGAGAGATGGCCTCTCCTGCAGTAGCCAGATGCTCCTCTTTCTGCCACAGAATGTCTGACTCCTGAGGATGCCTCCCTGCATTCTGAGGCCATGGAATTAGTCAGATACAGGCCCAGGGCTCCAATTGTACCTTGTTCACGCCCCCGATTCATTCACTCACACAACATACACTGAGCTTCACTGTATGAGGCACCTGAGGGAGGCACTTAGTGACCTTATCATCTATATGGCAGGTGTACACAAATCAGGGAATCCCACGAATAATGAATCACCATTCCATTATCCACTAGAAATGAATAAGGGAGGATAAGGGAGAGTGTAGGGGACCAAGAGACGGGCTGGATGGAGTTTGAAGGGAGGCATCTCTGGAAAGATGACGATTAAGCTGAAGTCTGGGAAATGAGGAGAAAGCAGCCCAGACTCAGAGAGCATGTGCAAAGGCCTGGAGGAAAGCCAATGTGGTAACATGCAGCTGTAATTCCAGCTACTCAGGAGACTGAAGCAGAGGGATCACTTGAGCCCAGGAGTTTGTAAATAAATAACTATAAACAAATAAGAAAGTCAAAGAAGGGTTGTGTGATCATGCAGGGGGATGGAGCTGAAGCCAGCCAGGGAAGGGGAGGGGAGGGTTATGGGGTGTCCCTGACATCTCCTTTGGCTTTTACCTCTCAGCATCTCCATGAATGGGGAAATCATCGCCTGTGGTGGTGGCTGCCAGGGCATTATAGACACAGGGACCTCCTTGCTGACTGGCCCACGTAACTCAATCCTCAATATCCAGAATCTCATCAGTGCTGAGGCTTCCAATGATGAGGTAAAGGGACATGCTGGAAAGTCACCCTGGGCTCCCTATACACTGGTGCTGCTGCAGTAGTAGCTGGGCCAACCTCCCAACTTTCTCTCTCTCTCTAACAGTATGTCCTCAACTGCAACTCCATCAACACCCTATCTGACATAGTCTACACCATCAGTGCTGTTACCTACCCGGTGCCAGCCAGTGCCTATATCCGGAAGGTGAGGGAACACACATTGGGGGCTGGTCCTCAAAGCCAAGAATCCCCTTCCTCCTCCCATGAATGCTGAGGGGTCAGCAGGGTGTGGTGGCACAGATCTGGAACCGTAGCACTCAAGTGAGGTGGAGGCAGGAAAATCAGGAGTTCAAAGCCAGCCTTGGCTAAGTGAGACCCTGCCTAAAACACACACACACACACACACACACACACACACACACACACATGAGGGATCAGCCATGTACCAGAAACAAGGTGATGGGACAATAAGGCTTCTGTCCCTAAGGAGCTTTGAGAGTTTCATGAGGTTTCTCTAATGCAAGAACATAGAAAGTTAGCTGCAGCAAAGAACTAGTGACAGGTGGCGTTGACTGAGGACTGTCCTACTATGATTATTTTTTTAATATTTTATTATTTTTATTTTATGTGTATAAGTGTATTGCCTGCATGTATGTGAGTGCACCCATGTCGTACATTGCCACGGAGGTCAGAAGAGGGCTTCGGATTCCCCTGGAACTGGAGTTCAGGATGGTTCGTAGCCACAATGTGGGTGTTGGGAATCGAACCCAGGTCCTCTGCAAGAGCAATCCGTGCTCTTAACCACTGAGCCATCTCTCCAGCCCCCCTACTATGATTATTAACAGTTCTCCCTTTCCATATCAAGAGTATCCTGGCTTGGATGACAAACTATAAGATTACCTGGATCCCAGGCCACAACCACACTATGGTGTGTGCCAGTTCCCCTTCTATGACCTATAGCATCAGCCCTTCCCTCTGTGGGGTGCTTAGGCTATGAGATGAACAGAGGGTGCACAGGGCCTACAGCACCCTGAAGATAGTGCAGTTCCCCCTGGAGGCCAGTTCTAAAAGAAGACTGTGAGGAGGAGGAGGAGGAAATGGGTGCCACTGTTTCCCAGGGTTGCAGAGGCAGCATGAGGGTGGCTTGGAGTGGGGCAGGTCTAGATGGCCCTTAGCAAGCAGATGGAACCCAAGGAACCATGCATGGAGGTGGCTGGGCTAGATGAATTTGTAGACCAGGGGCATGGAGGAGAGTGAGCCAGCCCAGCACTTGGTAACTGAACTGTGGAGGGTAGACGTACTCCATCTCAGGGCTGCCTAAAGGGGCTGCAGGAACTTACCACTTAGGGGGAGAAGGAAAAGAGGGGGCAGCCAACTGAGCCAGGGTTGGAGGAAAGAAATGGTAGGATGTGGGGGGAGCTTCAAGGAGTTCTGGTCCTGGCTGAGCAACCCACTACTGAAGGAAGCAGTCAGAGTGGGCTATGTGGCTCCATGACAGGAGGGACATGAAACTGAGAGGCAGCGCTGGGGATGTGGCTCAGTTAGTAGAGTGTTTGCCTACTATGCACTAAGTCCTGGGTTCCATTCCCAGCCCAGCATAAACTGGATGTGGTCATGTGTACTTGGGAGGCTGAGTCAGGAGGATCCAGCTCAAGGTCATTCTCAGCTCCAAGGAAGGGAGGGAGAGAGGGAGGGAAAGAGGGAGGGAGGGAGGAAACTGTGTGGTTGGCAGCCAGCTTCATATAGTGAAGGGATGGCTGGGATGGCTGACCACTCTGTGTTTCCCTCTCCTTCAGGACAATTCACACCATTGCTATAGCAACTTTGAAGAAGGCATAAATGACCAATCTGACCCCGAGATCTGGGTGCTAGGGGACGTTTTCTTGAGGCTGTATTTCACCGTGTTTGATCGGAAGAACAACAGAATTGGCCTTGCTCCTGCCTTGTGAATGCTGGTCCTCCTCAGGGAGTGGCCAGGCATACCCTAACTTAGACTCAAAGGCTAGTGGGGCAGTCCCATCCAGGGGAACTCACCCCAACTATCTGGTGCTCTGGAAAACCCTGTTGTGGGTGGAGAATAAAGATTTCATTCATAACAGTGTTGATTCTAATGGTTGCTCTCTCTGGGTTGAGGAGATATGTTGGGTTGGGATTAGTTTTGTTTTGGTTTATTTTTTGAGACAGGATCTCACTCTATAGTTCAAACTGATTTGGAATTCACTATGTAGCCCAGGCTGGCCTGGAACTTTCAGTACTCATTCTGCCTCGGCCTCTAGAATGCTGAGGTTACAGGCATGAGCCACCTCAACCAGCTAAGGGGCATCAGAATGCCACAATGTAGTCTCCAGAGAAGTCAAATCCTACAGACATGAAGAGACTTAAGGAAGGACACCAGGTAGGTGCAGAAAAGAACATGTGCAAAGAACTCCCATCTGCAACTCTGGAAGTCAAAAGCATCTGTTCCCTCCTCCCTTCCTCTGCTTTGATTCTCTTTCCCTCTCAGCTTCCTCCTATGATTCTTTGGAGGCAAAGAATTCTTCCACAGCCTTGCCCAGATTGGTCCACCTCAAGTCTCATGCCCAGTCCTGAACCAACTATTATGGCCAGAGGGGAATGAAGTGCTATGGTTGGCTCTGCTTGGTCAGATGACCTTGCCTGTGACCTGGGGATGATTGGCAGCTCCTTTTAGAACCACAGGGCTGGAATCAGCAGGAGTAAGTGACAAAATAGTGTTGTCAGAAGGGAGTGCTTGTGATGACCCCAACATCCACCCGCTCCTTATTCAGAAAGATGGCCAAAGGATAATCATTAAAACAGGTTCTGGATGCTGGGCCTGGTGGCACAGGCCTTGTGGAACCCTCCTCCTTGGCCCCCTCCCCTGGACTCCCTAGACCCCTGCCCCTATTTAGGACTAACTGCTCTTTTCGCTTCTGTAAATCGCTTGGCTTGAGGGAAACAGGGACAAACTGCACCGTCTCCATTTTGACTGCTGATTCCTCCATTTTTGTGATATCTCATGGTCATAGACTAGGCAAGCCCGGGCATGTCCAGGGGGCCCAGGCAGGTTTGAGGCCTTATAAGGAATAAACAGGGTCCTCTAGCCCTGAAGATAACAGCACATTCCACAGCCCTGAGGACAGCACCCACCAATGAGAGGCCTCCAAGACTGTAACCAATCAATTCAAAAGTATGTTGGCGGCGTGGGCTCTTTGGACCAATCAAAATATAGCTCTCTTAATTCCCCTCCTCCCTTTGTCTGAAACCTATGAAAAGTTCCCTCCCCCTGCAATCAGGGCTCTCAGACGAACCTACCATGTTAGTTTGATCTGAGAGTCCGAGCTTAAGCCCGAATAAAGACTCTGTTCTTGCATGCTCTCTGGACTCTGTGGTAATTCTTGGGGATCCATTTTCTGGGCACAATAACCTATATTCTCAGCTGCAGGGGAGGCTTAGGCAGGCGGGTGACAATTTCAAGGACTGACTGCCTCTGTAACTTAGTGAGACCCTGTCTCAAATCAAAAAGTGAAAGGTTGGGCTGGAGAGATGGCTCAGAGGATAGCTCTGTCAAAATTGGGCTCTCAGCACCTACACTGGGCAGCTCACAAACTCCTGTGATTCCATCTCCAAGGGATCTAAGGCCCCTTTGGCCTCTACTGGCACTTACACACATATGCAGAGACAA